AGGCATTTTTGGCTCTTTCCTGGACCCATCGCTGCTCCTCAGGGTTGCTGATTGTAACCAGGTCATGATGTGTCTGTCTGCAGTAATTCAAGGCTTCCTCCCAGGTTTTGTTTTCCCTGATCAAAATAAGATTATCTGCCATAAAATCAGAGAAAACATGAAATCAGTTAAATCTGGACTTCAAGTCTCTGGATGTTTGGTCCAGTTTCACTGGAAGAACAAAAGAAAACATTTCAGTGATTCTTCAGATGAATCAGCAGCTCTACAGAGAAATCTCTGTTCCAACCATCAGCTAAACATCTTCACCTGCAGAAATAAGTGGCTGAAGAAACATACTGACCTAAATCCTCTCAGTGACTCCAGCAGTTCATCTGTTGGACAAACCGCTGAGATAAATCTGTGTAAACTCACCATCATAGCAGAAGAAAGGCTTTCTTTGGTCACATCCAGCAGAGCTCCATCTTCCTGATCTCTCTAACAGAGTCGTTGCACATTTCCTGTTGTTTAGTCCATCATTAAATGAGTCCATGTCCCAGTATCTGAAGGAGAAGTTACTCCCATCTGACCACCTCCAGCTGTCTCTGAACAGGCCGATCCACGAGTTCACCTTAGGGGCTTTAGAGTTCTTCAGCTTCTTAAACTCTTCACTGTATATCTGATCGAGTCCACTGGCCAGGTCGGTGTGATGCTGTCTGCAGTAGCTCTGAGCCTGAGTCCAGGTCTTCTTCTCCATAATCGCCATAATAATCAAATGAAAGGTTTTGTTGTCTTTCATTGTTTCTGTCAACAGAAAAACAAAAAACCATCATCTTTATCAACTAATTTGTCTTTTTCTTTCTCAGCAAAAACAGAAGAAAGAAGAAAAGAAGAGAAAAATAAAAAATATATTTTTCATCCATTTACCCACAGATTTAGAAAAAAGAGTGAACTGTTGTCCTTTACGCTCACTTCCTGTTTACCTATTGTCCTATTGAGGACATCTTAAAAGCAAGAGGGTAGGCCGAGAAGAAAATAGGAGGGGTCCCCTTGGATCTGATTCTTAAAAATATTAGTTAGTTCTGGAGATGTGGATCTTGAAAATCTTTTGATGAGTTTGCATTCCCAAAAGTAATGAAAAAAAGTTTCTTTCTGACATTGACTACAGAAGGGGGAAATATGAGGTGTGATCTTATGCAAAACATAGCATCTATGTA